GTATCGAGATACACGCGAGAGGGGTTGGTCGTGGATATCTCCTCGACGGTCCGTTGTTGCTGCCTGGTTTCGGGCTCGATTTACAGCAGGAGAACGCACGACTTACGGAATTCCCGTGGAAGTCCGATGTGGAAGTCTCTTCTCTCCTTCCTTCTGTTTCCCTCTTCCTCGCGACCCCTAGTTTGCGTATACGTCTGTTTACCTCCCGATCCCCAACGATCTTCTTCCCTTACTAGGGGAAACGGATCAGCCGCCGTCGCGGATTTACGACGCGCGGAATTCGGACGACGCTCGTTCGTCTTCGCGCGTTACTTCCGGTAAGATTTTCTCCCTTTCTCTCCTTCTTTCGCTTTCCGCGGTGTCTCGAGCGTGCCAATATTTTTCTTCGAGCAGACTAAAAGTGCGATGAACGCGAGAGAGACTCACGGAGGTCGAATCCGAGAAGACGCGCGCGTCTGGGAAAAGGGGCGGCACTCCTATTATTTTGCGGTTCCGCGCCTCCCACTGACGTGAAATATACAGCCTATGGAAACTTAGTTTCCCGCCTGCGAATTCCCGAGCTGTCGGCATCGGAATTTCTCGTCGCGTTATTTTGCGATTTTACACTCGAATTATAAGCAGATACGCGGCGCCTATACGAGCTCGCCTCGTGTCTGCTGGCATTTTTGACTCGTTCACGTCGACGTTGTTTTTCGTTTATTTTGCAGCTTCATGTGGTATATGAATTCACGTACTTTTGCCATTCCTTATGCTTACAGACTTGATTTGAAATTTTTCCACTGACACGTTAAGTAACGAAAATGCCAATGTATATACTATTTTTTTTTTTTTCACCACGATTTCAAAATATGGCATATATTTTTTTAACGCGAATGTGTAACAATATATATTTATTCGTTACTTTAATATGATTCTGTCAATTTATGTCGAGACACTTAAATTTTCAACGAATAAATGTCATTTTCGTCAAAAGAGTAATATATATTTATCAACCATTTGTATAAATTTTACTTCTATTTAAGACTCAATGCAAAGAGAATTCTCTTAGAATTATGAGAAATATCGCCAACGCGTAAGAAAAGGTCTGGAACACGTTTGCACCGGGTTTATCAAGTGAAGTTAAATTGTACGTTAAAAAATATGTGCGCCATAAGGCCGCGGTTGGAAATTCTTTAATGATCCGCGATGGAGTCGGTCTTCGTGCGGTAACCGGAAACGTACGGGCTTACGGGAGAAGATGTTGGGGCGCAAGAAAACGGGGGCGTTGCGTAGCGAGATTCTGTGACAAACGACGCGACTATACGTTATCTCGGAGAGACCGAGATACATGTCTCGGGGAGGAAGTTTCCCCTGTAGTTTCGCGCTCGAATTACAACGGGAACGCGCATTCGCCGCCGCTTTCTCCGCAAGTCTCGAGCGCGTTTTCTTCGCGCTCTGTTATTCGCCATTTCCCGTTTCCACGTGCCCCCTATCATTTACGCGGTTCTCGACGATATCACGGTTGGAATTGAAAAAGAGGAAATACACGCTTTATATATATATAACCGACGACGGTAATATGTCAATCTATTTGAAGTCATGTACGTGCGATATATGAAAATTCTTGGATTCCGCGGAACCATTATGGATTATCCAGTGCGTCGAAGACTTGAGAAAAGACGCGGGGGTTAAAAAAAAACTAACTTAAGATATATGATAGATTTGCATTAGAAGGAACTTCAGCAGTATTTTTCGAGAGACGGCGCATCCAGGAAGATGTATGAGCTTAATTAAGACCAGACATGCATCATAAAGTTTCGTCCGACTAACGTAGACGCGTGCGCAGGGTGCATGCAAAAATCTGTTCGCAATTTCGAAAAATTTTACAGACTGTACGATGCCAAGCGTATGTCTTTGAAACGAAAATGAGAGAGATAAATCCAATTTCTTTCATGTTTGCACGAATTAAAGGTTTCACTCGTACGTTTCGAGAGAAAAAATTGCCTTTGAAATAGAACAGGCAAGAACGTTTCTCGCTGTATATTTGTATACATATTCATGTATATTAAGATGTAACGAAAAAACCATAGTTAATTCTTCATGATTCTTTTATGCAGTTTATGCGATATATTAGAATTGTTATTTACGAGCAAAAAAAACGAAAATTAATAATCTAGCAATTACAAAAGCTTAATATATATCTTTACCATTTCGATAGTCAACAACACTAAGATAGTTAATTCTTCATGATTCTTTTATGCAGTTTATGCGATATATTAGAATTGTCATTTACGAGCAAAAAAAAACGAAAATTAATAATCTAGCAATTACGAGCAAAAAAAAAAACGAAAATTAATAATCTAGCAATTACAAAAGCTTAATATATATCTTTGCCATTTCGATAGTCAACAACACTAGTAGCGAGTTGAGTCGCCTTTTGGTATTAGCGCGTTAACGCGTCGTGCCACAGGATAGTCCCATCGATTTTCGTGCAGGAGCTACATGCACGTGTGTGTATGTGTGTGTGGAAGCGGATTATCTCCCGATGTTCCGATTCGTCGGTTAGAACAGAGTTCTCTCCCGAATTCATGGAGAAATCGATATTGAGCGATCGGAGTCGAAGCGGCGGCGTGTCAGTCACCTTCGGATTCCTCAAAAATCGCCAGTTAGCGGTCAGTTTGCGGCGGGATCGCGCTCTATACTCCGAATACTTGGGATAGAATCCGAGAGAGAGAACATTCTCGACGTCCACAACGTCGGCAGCTGTCGAATTAATCCCGTCGTGTATGTACGTGCACGCCTCTCTTATCTCTCTCTCTCTCTCTCTCTCTCTCGAAGATACGTCACTTCCAGCGTCCGTTCGAATGGGGAGGGAGAAGTCGCGGTCGGCCGCAACGCGGATCCCAACACTCGCAAATACCGTTCGCGGGTGTGGTGTCAGTTTTGCTGGTTTCTTCGGCAAACTATTCCGAAACTCTTGCTAACAGCTCGGAAACGACTTCCGTCGATTTGACGGAATGCGCGGATCACTCCGTCCGTCGCTCTACCATATATACCGCCGCCGTCGCCGCGTGTGCTGACTTCCCGATTTCTTTAGCCCGAAAATTCCTCTGGCTGGCGCAAGAATTTCGGTTGCCGGAAATTCCATCGTCTCCTCGATATCGTTCGCGTGGTGTTCGGAATAATTCTCCTCGAGCGACGTCTTACGCGTCGATGTATCCCTGTACGACGTTCTCTATGGAATAAAAGAAATCTGGCAATCGTGGATTTATTTAATTGCGAGTGTCTGGAGATAAATATATATACCAAGAATACATGCTTCGCATACTGAGAAGCAATAATTCGATATAACAGTATTAAACGTATAAATTTTAATACGCATGGTCTTTGGTTATCGATGATAAAATTCTCCATTTGGATTAGCTCTTGGTTTTTCGATGCTGTATTATTTAATTTGCGAATTATTTAAATCGCGAAAAGCTGTAATCGTGTCTCTTGGTTTTCGAGATATATTTTAGTGCGCTATCGGGACAAATATATTCGATGTATTTTTCAAGGCATATACGTTCTATTCCGCTAATATGTAAATATATTACCTATATGGATTTGCAGTCACTTTTAAAATTCGTCGTGTTGTCGGACGCGATGTGTCGCGAAGCTCGAAACATTGCTTCCTCAAAAATGTCGCAATGCATTTTACGTGATGTTTACTTATTAAAGTCTACGAGCAGAGAGCATATATGTATATTAAGAGTCGATATATTGAACGCTTGCACACATATTTCCTGGCGACTTGATAATATACTGGCGATTAAATAATATGTTGGCTATATCTTACATCGTTAGTCGATAATACGATATTAAATATATAATAATTATAAAATAATTATAATCATATATAACGAGGTGAGAAGCGATCAATGAAAATTAGGTCTATCATTTCACAAGTTTTGCGCGTGGGTAATCAATGCATTAATTATCCTGAATATCATAAAATTATAAATATTGTAACATTAAATTTATAAAATTCATAAAATAATATAAATATTTTAAATATCATAAAATTGTTATTCTCCATATAATTCTGATACTAACGCATTATAATTATGGAAGAATTATTAATTTATAGGTCGATATTCTCATAGTCGTAAATAGTTTTCAATTTTTGATGGAAATTAATTACAAAATTTTGTGTTCATAAATTGTGATTCAACTATTTGGATTAATACTTTATAGTTTTTATTTTTTTGCAAACTTGAGAAAAAATATTTACAATATATAATCTATCATGTTTTTCTAATTTGTAAACGATTAATGTTTATTTATTTAAAATAATGATCTCTTCTCTTATACATAGTATTGCGTATTATTGATTTTTTTTAGATTTAGTAGTTTAACACAAAAATTATCACAAATATACGAACAAATAATTAAATACATAGTTTCGATAAAAGACGCGAATAAAAATATTGTTGATAGTTGAGTAATTGTGAAATTATAAGATTGCAAAATTATTATATTGCTTGTTAATGTTAATGTTAATTATCGATATTATATATATATATAATCAATATTATATATATGTTATAATATTAAATACAATTAATATCGTAATGTAATATTAATATTCGAATAATTGATATACGTGAATAATTGAAAAATTTATGAAATTGATTCGTCAAATAACAATCGATAATAAGAATTATAGACGTAAATTTTTGAAAAGTTGCGGAGCGCGCTCGTAGTTTTCCTTTTTAAATCAATGAAATATTTGCGATATCGACTTTTCGAACGTGCACAAAACGTACAAATGGCACCTGACGTACAAATTCTCTCTGGCTTCGGAGGCGAAATGTATAGAGTTTCGGTTTTTCGGTCGTAGCTCCGTTCTATAAGCTCAACCGCGAGTCATACGTTGCGAGCGATTATTGTCGAAAACAAACATCCGTAGGAGCTTAAGTATCGAATCGATGGTTCGCGGCAACCAATCCATGAACTAATCGTGAATTTTGTTATTGCAGAGAAGCCACCGGCAAAACTACGAGTCGCTGGAGCATCGTCAACGCAGCACCGAGCTCTCGCTTCCATCGACACGGGTGAGTCTTTATTGTTTTTACGCTTTTTATCCGTCATTTTCTTTCTGTCTTTTTCTCTCCTTTGTTACATCATGCATTTTCTGCAACAAAATTAAAAAATTACGTACGATACTATATCATGCGTCTAATAATATTTCTTATTTGAGCGAACCTTTTTTATCGGATATTTAACATCCGATACTTGATTCGATACGTTTAATGTATCTCTCTTCTCCCTCGACTATACATAGCTTCGTTCGACTTAAGGTCGATTTTTTATCTCAATAAAAATCTTTCAAGACATAATATTTCTTTTCATAAAGTTAAACATCTCGGTAATTGAGCCTGAAATTACGTTTCTGTCAAAGTAAAGTCCATTCGAAATTAAATGCAAATTTCTCTTATCTACATGCACATCTCTATAAGGAAAAAAATTTTCGATATTCTAGTTTTTTCAACTCTCTTGCTAACATTATTTAATTTTAATTTACTTTTTTTTTACTTTTAATTTAAAAGTGTCCCGACGTTGTATTATTAAGACACGCTATGTTTTCTGTCCATTTAAAAAAAAAAGGCTTCATCCCAAGATTATAACAAACGCCTCTCCCCCGTTCTTTCGCTTCGTATTTAAATACCGTCACTGTTCGTCGGCGTTAAGAAAGTTTCGGCGCGCCGCCGCACCCATTATGCCGTTGTATCGATATCGCGCTCGTAACGGCGAGGGGTCGAGTTGGTTGACCCCGCATAAAGTGCGGGGCTTGTGGGTCGTGTGCCGGGTATCTTGAAAATCTCGTGGGTCAGGGCGTGGTGTGCCGACGACGACGGCAGCGGGGTCTACAATCAGGCTGGTGGTGTGTCTCATTCGCGGTGGTGGTGCGTCGAACGAGGAGGGCGCCTCTCTTCTCTTTCACCCTGCGCACGCACACACACACACACACAGCACGCGTTGCACGCAACATAGACTCGCAGACCTTAATACACGGACGCACCCGAGTCGACCGCCCGTTCTGATTAGCGGCAAATAATACCCGTAACAATAGCTACCGTTCTCTAACACGACTTGTCCGACGCTTCTGTTCATATGTATGTATATATATATATATATATATATATATATATATGTGTGTGTGTGTGCGCGCGCGTGACTCTCGATGTTGGTGCGTGCGTGCCAGTAAGACCCTTTGCGTCAGTCTCGTGGAAAGGTCCGACTGGCGCCCTTTGCACCAAAGCCCCGAAGACACGAGTCAGTCAATCCCCATCTGCTTTCGATTCCTCTCAGCTTCCCTCTGTCTTTATCTTTCTCTCTCACCCTCTCTCTTTCTCTTTCCGTACGTGTTTCCCTCTCGCGCCCTACGTCCGCAGAATTTCGATGATCTCGTGGAAACAGATTTATCGCGCCTCTTGCCGAGTTTCCTGAACTCTCTTGATACTTTTTGGTCCTTACGGTATCGATCACGCGAAATGCGCCACGGCTATCTCGGATCGTTATATCTCTGTCCCGCTTGCGCATTTTTTTTTCTCTATTTTCTTTTTTTTACTTCCGTATAAACATTGTGAGTTTTACCAAGATACGGTTGAATTTTTTATACAGAGTCGCTGGGCGGACACGACTAGTTGCGAAAGCAGAAATATAAGAGCAAGGATATACAAAGATTCGTTTTTTATTTAGTCTATTTCGTGAAATGAAAACTTTGTTCGTACAACAATGCAATAATGATGACGGCGAAAGCGATGTCGACAAAAGCGACGACGACGGCCCTTTTGGAACTTTTCGCCGTCTGAACGGAACATTTCGTTATCTCGTTTTCGCTTTTGTTTAGCGTCGCTTCTTATCGTCGTTCTAGGTGACGAAAGTTATCGTTCGATCGCACGGCGAGGCGTCATCAAGAAATAAATGGCCGAGAAGCGAGGAGGTTAAGCTGCTTTTTCGCCGCTTAACCGCGCTCCTTCGTTATCCGAGTCTTGGCAAGACTTCCGAGACGTTAAAAAGAAGCAACGTTCGGAGATAGGTCGGGGGCTAAGCCCAGAGCTTATGGTTACGGTTAATAGTGGCGATTAACCCTTTACGAAGCCAATCTTTAAGCGCGGATAAAAAATCACGCGAGATTAGCGAGGAATATTGGAAACTCTTTGAAAAAGACGATACGACGTTGGATTAAGGAAGGAGATATCGTTTTGTTAAGAAGATCGAAAATTTCTTCTTACGAAATATTACGAGTATCCGTTGTATTAAATCCCTCCGCTCTATTAGGCATGCATAATATATCGTGAGATGTAATTTATACATTTTGTGCAGTTTTATGTTCACAATTATAATAATTTTAATTGTTATGCTTGTTGGATATTCATCTATTACATAACTATTTCTAATAATATTGATATAAAATATTACGCAACATAATATATCTCTCATATAATATCATTTTCAAAGATATTTCAAAATTATCTAACTCACATAATTGCAAAAGTTAATTTTATAATATTGTTAGATATCATTTTATCAAATACGAGATAGATATAATTTCATTTGTGTGTGCGTATGTGTGTGCGAATACGATGAAAATTGTCTTTTAAAAATCAACAGATACGTTGTTACTTTACGGAATAAAAATTAATGTTATACCATCTTTCTCGCGAAACTATATCGTAAAAATATTTTTCTTGATTATATCTTTGCGAAGATAAAACTATGATAAACTTTCTTATTAGTTTCACCTCGGGCCATTCATCTTGAAAGCAAGCCGCGTTACCCCGTCGACCTAAATACATTCGATCCTTCGTTATCGCCCGAGGATCTCGAGTCCCAGTCAGCAGAAACCACCTAATCCCTCGGAAAGCCCTTGTGAAAAAGCATCGATCTCCAATTCATTCCGTCCCGTCCGTGCGCGCGATCGGCCAGCGGAGCGGAAAGCTCGCCGCAACCGGAAGTGTCGGGACCGTCTCTCTCGGCGAGAGAGAGAAAGGTTCCTTTTTTAGTTCTAGAATAATGACTCGAATTACGGTCATTTTCTGTGCGACCGCACAGGTGTCCGATTGTGCGCGCAAACGCATACTCATACATACACACACACACACACACACAGACGTATATATATATTCGCACTCCGCATCGTGGTGGCTAGCCACCACCGCCGCCACCACCATCGCCGCCGTACACGTGTCACCTGCACTTCCACTGCACGTCAGTAGCCGGCATTGTGCAGATATAGTAAAACTCGCCCCATGAGGTGCACGACCGCGTTAAACGCGCAGCGGTGCATTTGAAGAGCCGGATTTAAAATCGGCTCGAGTGCTGAGAAGCGAACGGTCGAGCGCTAAACGCTCGAAAATTAAATAAAATATACATTTTAATATATATTCCCCAGATAAATAGGTACTACATCCGTCTAGGATATTACATATATCTGCGCACACTATGCAATTAATTGACCAGAAAATGTGCATATTGAATCATACTTGATCAATATTTAATGTAAAAAATATAATTATTCTGATCATTTAGTTGTACACGGAGAGAATTTTTCCCTTAGAATATGGAATATTCCGTATATAAAAAAATATTAATGTACGTAGTAAATTTTATTTATTATGTACATATAATAAAATTAATCGAACATATTTTACATCTTATTGTGCTAGATACACTATATAATATTTATATATGGTGCTGGTAAATATTAATCAGTTCAAATCTCTTTTAAAATCTTTTCAATTCCAATACCATATTGTTCCATGATTATCATGATTTTCAGGGTAAATTCTAAAAGAAAATTCTCTCTGTGTATAGAATTATATATAATTGTAAAAAAAGCTATACCTATACAAAAAAATGTCACTGAATGCTAGAATGCTTTCCTGAAATATAACTACTCCATTCGCGATAATGTGACATATTTTTTAGATGACGTATATGAATCGATGCTAATAACATTTATTTTAGGTTGTCGTTTTACGCGGTGATGATAAATCTACTCGAGTCAGATTATCGGCTTTTGTCTGAAATTCTACACTCATTTCCTTCAGTATATAGCATTTTCCGATAGCGTGTGTTCCACGTTATATATTTCTTCCGGCTTTTCTGTCGTATCCTTGCTCCTTGACCCTTGTTATGTCGACTTTGGAGCGCGACGCTCTACAATCGGTATTTAATTGAACTCCTCGGTTTCCCCATTACGTGAAAAGCCTGTTTTTCCAACCGGGCGCAGTCTGGAATATCGATGTCATCCCGTATATCACTGCCGGAAAAATCGCCATTGACATCCGGTTGCAACCAGCCACTGACCGAGTTCTCTTTCGGCCGAGAAACGCGACGCTCGTTTAAGGTGACGTTATCGGGAAGGAACAAGACGTTCAGATAGTAGTTATACTAGGGGGGTTCTAACTCAGGGGCAATGAGGGGGGTGCGGGGCGGGGGGGTTTTTGGGGGCGAGGGGGTATGACGTCACGCGGGCGGGGGGTCTTATCAGCAGATAAGCTTATCTATGTTTATAAACAAAAGATAAACAATATCTATTACAAAGGGTTGCCGACAATCGGGGGGGGGGGGTTGCGTTTCTTCTCCTCATACGTTTATGTTTATAAACAAAAGATAAACATTCCATCAATATCTATTACAAAGGGCTGCCGACAATCAGGGGGGGGGGGTTGCGTTTCTTCTCCTCATACGTTTATGTTTATAAACAAAAGATAAACATTCCATCAATATCTATTACAAAGGGCTGCCGACAATCAGGGGAAGGGGGGGGTTGCGTTTCTTCTCCTCATACGTTATCTGTATATTTCTAAGAAATATAATCAAATTTTAAGAAGGGCCACCGCTTGGCATGCGCCGACAATCAGTTCTCTGAAAATCTAAGATAATCAAATTTTAAGAAGGGTCACCGCTTGGCATACGCCGACAATCAAGGGGGTTGATACATGATCTATACGTATATTTCTAAGAAATATCAGCGGGTAAAGTTTCAGGGCGAACAAGTTGCTGCCTGCAACCTCATCGCTTGCGGCCTGCGACATGTTTTTGC